TGCAAAGGTTATTTCATTTGAATCATTTGTTTTTTCATAAAAAAAGGATTCCGGTTTTTTGTCAGTCCCATTTTCTATCAGTTTTTCGCCAAAAAAATACTCGGGTTTTTTTATCAGTCTCATTTTCTGACAGTTTTTCATCAAAAAAAAACTCGATTTTTTTGTCAGTCTCATTTATCGGACGGTTTCGGGAGCAAAATACTACGATATGAACTTAAAAAAATGTATTGTCATCGAGAATATCAAAATATCTCGAAATGTTGCTCTTTTGTCCCCCTTCCCCGTTTTTCTCTCTTTTCCAAAAGTAATAATTTTCACGAAGGTAACAGTTTTCCAAAAGTAATAATTTTCCAGAAGTAATAATTTTCCAATAGTAATAATCTTCATTTTCACCACCCCCTCCCCTTCACCCCCGCCCTCCCCCATGATTTGCAGCAGCCATGTAAGTTAAACGATTATTCGTACTTGGCTAACTTTTTTGGAATATTGCTTGCAGGAAATTTGTGACGAATTGAGTTGTCTATCACAAACATAGCAGTATATACCACTTTAAATTGGAAGTATAGCCGGAATGTAAAATTCTGAAGATAAAATTGGTAATGATTTTAAAAAAAAATGAAAAATTTTAAAGTTCAAAAGATCTGGAAGTTCAGAAGGTTTTTTCATTTGTACTGCAAATTTTTCCAAATTTTTGGAAACCGCAGTTATATACGAAATGACCTGTTTTGTTTTCAGCTATCTATAATAGTTGGTTCACTGATGCTTGTTGGTAGCACTTGGGCTGTTCTACGCACCGAACAGGCAAGGAACGTTGTTGATGTGATACTGCCAAAACAAATCGGTTTGTTATATGCGTTTTTTGCATCTGTGCAGTGCAAAAACGCATATTGTCGAGGGTCTGTCTGTCCGTGTGCGTGTGTGTGTATGTCTGTATGCCTGTGTGTACATCCGTACCGAGTTTTCATCTCGAGATCCACAGAAGCTACAGGACTGAAACACTGGCAGTCTACACTTATATACGAGTCTGTATCTTCGAGGTGAACGCTTACGTCTATGTGGTCCTCATGTACAACCACATGGAGTTTTCGGACGGGGAAGCGATTTCGAGGACGGTGCAAGCCACAAGACTGAAAAAAGGATTTCACGAAAACGTTTTTTGGCCATACCCAACCTAAAGATTTTAAATTCAGCCTTTCTGCACCCCTAGACCGCACACACGTACACGTAGAAGTGCAAATTGGCATCATGCCAACTCCAGATTTAAGGTGACCAGGAAGTTGTAGTGAGCTGTAACATTGCAGCGTTGCTTTTC